TTTGTTACAATCTGCAAAAGATGAAGTATTTGGATACTTCCGGATTTTTATTTTAAGCAAACATCCTGTATCATAGGTACATCTCTGGGGTTTGTAACAAACTAAACAGCTGGAAAATCGGCGGTAAATTCAGCGAATTATGATGATTTTAGTGTGGACAGACCTTCTGCTCTCATACACAGACAGGCATTAGGAGACGCAGCCTCGCCCCTGGGAACATGGCGGCCGCGATGACGTGTTGACATAATAGGCAGAACTGGATCATGCGGCATCTAGTGTAAATATCTGTGATCAAGACAAGGGCGTAGTTTTAGTCACAGCCCCATATCAGTATTTTTGGAGGACGGAAGTGTCTCTACCAATATTTGAGCAAAGCCGTGCACATTATCTGACTGAGTGAAAGGGAGGGGCGATCTAAAGCTCCGGTTACGTGCAGATGTAATATTTGCTCCCAGACACGGAGGTGGTGACAACTGTCGGACAGCGTGCTGACAACGTTATGTTACAGTGGCTGACATCGGTAAAGTTGGAAAGATATTCACAGATTCGGAGCTTCCGGATCAACAGCGAAACGTTGCTAAAATATAAACGACGCCTCTTTTGTTTCACAGTAGTGTAGACAACAAGCTACAACCTCATTTTAATCAAAATGAGCCAGACAAATAACATAGGACTCAGTGTGCAGGGACCGTCTACAAAGTGCAACACTGAAAAGAGAGGCCTAATACAAAAATATTCAATAACCTTTGAGAAAAATATTCATTAACTTCATTCATATACTGTAGTGTCACCAAAATCACTTCATACAGTAATGGCCATCTGCTGATTGTATTACAACACTTACTTTGGGAAAAATATTCTTTTGTATAATTTGGGTGAATTTATATTATCTCTATCTTTACACTGATCACTGATTGATCATGCCCTAGGAAATAAACAAATACACAAGTGGGATGTTGATCTTCTCCCAAGGTAAAGTGGTCAACATGATCTCTGTTTCTGCAAATGAACACTCACAGATTTTACCTCAGGCCAGGGTTCTCAAACTCAGTGTTTTCACTAAGCGTGATTTCTGATCGACTGTGTATGTGCTGGTTTTGCAGCTTTCCCTCCTACATGTTTCTGGGAATTGGCCAGGTAAGTTGTCCAGCTGTGGATATGTTTCCCCATGTTCCTGTTTGTCATGCACAAGGGCACGCTGACTTCACGGTCACTTTGGTCCTTTCAGATGACCACCACAATTGTTATCCTTTATGCTGCCAAAAAGATCAAGATGGTCCAGTTTCAGGATTTGGACAGAAATGTTCTTTTAAAAGTAAGCATTTTTCATTTTTTCAACAATTTATTTGTTATTATTTGCTGTATGTATTTTAATTTCCAAAATGTGCCTTTATTTTCTTTTCAGATTTTCCCTCTTCCTTTGCTGTATGTGGGGAACCATGTGACAGGACTGGCAAGCACCAAAAAGCTCAGGTTTAATCAGTTTGGCCATTATGTATATTAATACATTGTCATTCTAAAGTTTCACTGTGCTTACTCATGTGGTCTTCCCCTCCCCCCAAAAAATGCTGTCTTCTGCAGTTTACCAATGTTTACAGTTTTACGGAAGTTCACCATACTGATGACAATGATGTTGGAAATATATGTACTAAGGTAAGATGTATTTTTCTGTTAGATCTTTTATATCACAGTTGCCCTGATCAGATTTATGACAGAACTGATCTGAAAGACATTACATATTATATGGATTAAAGGAGGTTTCATTGCAGGGTGAAACGCCAGATGTAAAATATGGAAGAGCTACATGTGATCTATTAATGCCAAAGACTGTTGTACAGTACTTTGACATGTGTTTCTTCCTTCCCACTTTTTTGTTTTTGATCTGAATGTTTCAGAGTTTGTCTTTCAGGAAAACATTTCCAAGACGCCTTGTGTACAGTATTTTGGCCATAGTCCTTGGTGCCATGGTTGCTGCATGGTATGGATTTTTGGAATTATTGAGAGATTGCTTGAGAACTAAACCAAGTGCAGACAGAACACCTGTGCTTTGCTTCCTTATTTCCCTCTCCTCTAGTTCTGACCTGGCCTTTGACATGGAGGCCTATACCTTCATCCTGCTCAATGATGCCTTCACTGCTGCCAACAATGTGTACACCAAAATGAAAGTTGGCATTGAGGTAACTTTCATTGCACATCACGTACAAATTGAGACAGTGTACTGTCATAATATCTAATCTATTTTTTTTTTGTGTGTGTGTGAAGGACCTTGGAAAATATGGTGTCTTATTTTACAATGCACTAATCATTATCATCCCTACTCTCTTGGCGAGTGCATCTACTGGGGATTTACATGAGGTACCTGCAGTAACTGAGTTTCTGACATTTTTGCCCAAAACTGTGTGATTTTCCTGCCTGACCACCTTGTATGTTTTGATCCACAGGCAGTTTTATTTGAGGACTGGGTCAATGTTACATTCATCATTTGTTTCCTTATGTCCTGTTTCATGGGGTATGTCACTCTAGCTAAATTCAAACTGTTACTGTCACATCTTTGTGGAAACTCCAACAACAAACTAATATTCTACAAATTATGCTTCCATAGCTCTTACATTACTGTCTCAGCCTACCCAGGTTTTAAAGACTTCTGTTTTCCCAGGTTTGTGTTGATGTATTCCATAGTCCTGTGCAGCTATTATAACTCAGCGCTCACTACCACAGTAGTGGGGGCAATAAAGGTAAGAACACACTGACACAGTGATAAACAAAAATGAAACAGTGAACAGTTGTCATTTGTATCTGTTCGGTTTCTGCTAACAAGATCATCACTAACCTGAATAAAAATTAAATTTCTAGAATGTTGCAGTAGCCTATATTGGCATCTTTGTGGGTGGAGACTACCTGTTCTCTTGGACTAACTTCCTAGGCCTCAGCATTTGGTAAGAATTCCGTTTTTTCCATTCTCGTGTTGTTATTTTTTGCTTATGTTTTTGACCAACATATTTTGTTAATTGTGGTGTACTTCACCTGACTACGACTGAAAATTGATGTGACCAAATGATCAAACCTTTGCAGGCACAATGCATAATATAGCCCATTTGTGCTAATAAATTCTTTTAGATCTTTGAAAATGCACCTTTAATTCATCCATCATCACCTCCACAGTATTCACACTGGAGCTGGGTATATGCCGTTTACAAACACAAATGTGAACCAAAAAGATCAGATCTGACAAATATATTACAGTTTATGCATTAAGGGTTGTAATGTAAGCATAGCCTGTTGCTGCCACTTAGTTGTTAATTAATTCTTTTCCATGCCTAACAGTGTATATTTTATCTTTTGCTTTTCAGTATGTCTGGTGGACTAGTGTACTCGTATCTCACCTTCAGCAACAAATCCTCTGGGAGCAATGCAAAAGGAGCACAGGAACTTAAGATCCACATTACAGAAGATTCAGCAGAGACGTGCTCTGCTAAATAGACAATATTTTAGTATCCAACACTTGGTGGCATCGTTCTAGATAAGAGGCCTTTATTGTCAATGCATTCAGTAAAGAAAGTCACTTTCGGCTTTTCCTGTTTTTTAGGGGTTGCCACAGCAAATCGTCACAGTGACGATTTGCATGTTGACATTTGGCACTTGTATTACACCAGATGCCCTTCCTGACACAACCCTGACTTGAACCTCGGCTGCAGCGGTGAGAGTGCTGTGCCTTAACCACTAGCCAACCAGGGACGGCTCCTGTCAATGTACAGTATTCAGTATACAATGAAATTGCAAGTGCTCGCCACATCACTATGGTGTTTAAAAGAACATACATACACTCAGTCACACTACACTCATAAAAACATTCTAAAATTGAAGAAAAGGATATAAAGTGCTAGGCCATAATATTGCACATATATCTGTTTTTACAAAAAAAAATATGCAGTTGGGTGTAAATAAGATAAACTAGCTGGACTGTTTATTAATGTGCTGTATGGCTACAGGAAAGAAACTGTTCAGGAATCGTTTTGTGTATGTTTTAATTGACCTATACCGCCTGCCTGAGGGCAGGAGGTCAAGGGTGGGAATTGTCTTTTAAGATAGTCTTTGCTCTACTGAAGTAGTGGTTTGCAGCAATGTCCTCAATTGAGGAAAGAGGGCAGCCAATGATTTTCTGCACTGTGTTGACCACCCTCTGTAGAGCCTTCCGGTCAGCCACTGTACAACCAGAGTACCACACTGTGATACAGTATGTTAATATACTCTCTATGGCACAGCGATAAAAAGCCACTAGCAAGGTTCCACACAGGTTGTTTTTCCTAAGGACTGTCAGGAAGTACAGGCGCTGCTGGGACTTCTTTACAACGGCTGAGGTGTTCATTGACCAGGAAAGGTTTTTGGATATTTCAGTTCCCAGAAATTTTAAACTGTGAACTATTTCCACACAGACTCTATTGATCAAGATAGGTGAGTGGTTGGCTGTGCACTTCCTGAAGTCCAGGATCATTTCTTTGGTTTTCCTTTTGTGTCAGGTTATTTGCAGAACACCACAGGGTCAGTAGAGGCTCTGAACAGTTCTTTTAGCACAAGACTGCCACATCACCAGTGCAAGAAGGAGCGTTACCGTAGGTCATTCCTCCCCACAGCACAGCAATCAGACTGTACAATACATCACTGCAGGGATAAGATAGGTGAAATTATTAGGGACTATGCAATAATCTACTGTGGTGCAATACTTAAATCCTGGGGGTAAAATGCATGGTTAATATGCACATGTGTAAAATCTTGTCCTTGATTTCTCTCGAATACTTTATATTGTCTTGTTTTAGGTATTTTTGACTAGTAGTATTTCAGAAATCCTCATGGCTGAAATACAGGCATTTCCCCCATTGTGGGATTAATTATGGGAGTAATGTTCTTGTCCTTGATCTCTTGAATACTATATTTTGTCTTGTTCTTAGATATTTTGATTTGTTCAAATTGTGGGATCATTCTTGTTGTTGATTGTCTCCCAAATACTATATTTTGTTTGGTTTTGGGTACTTTGGAATTTGTTTCTCAAGATACTGTATGTGTGTGGTGTTTGTTCTTATGATCCATGCAGATTCATAGTATCATCCAGGTAAGCTGAAAAAACTTCAATCAACTGGACTAGGTTTCTAGGTCAAAGACGAAACGTCTAGAAACCTAGTCCAGTTGATTTTACTAAATTTTTCCAGCTTGTTCATGGTGTCTTGTTGCTGCTCTCTATTGCTGCTGGAACACAGGAATTTCCCTATTGTGGGATCAATAAAGTCCTACCTAACCTAACCGTGCCTCAGTACCCGTTTGGCACTTGGTGATAATGGGGGTAAGAGCAACTCGTGTGTAATCATTTAGACTGTCTACAGTAGGCTTTTTTGGGACTGGGATGATAGCATGTGCAAGAGACAGGTTAAAGATGTTGGTGAAGACACCAGCCAGTTCATAGAGACCTTTCATAGAGACTTTTCCTGGTACTCCGTCTGGTCCAGTTGCCTTCCTTGGGTTAACTGCTCTTAACACCCGTTTCACCTCATGTTCCTATATAGCCAGTGACAGGGAGATGTGTGAATGTGAAGTTTTCACTTCACATTGGAGCATAATGTTAAGCTATATTTTTAGATTGAACTCCAGTGCATTACTGGTACATACATTACTGGCTCTTTAGGGTTAATTTCACTACAAAATTATGACTTGAAATGATCAAGAGGGACACATTCTGGTCCAAGTGAATGTTTATTGAAGAGCAACTGTTGTATAACAGTATGGACAGTCTGTCAGATAAATGTTACCTTTTAAAGCATGTAATAACATGTCTACCAAGCAAGCAGAATCACTATGCATGCCACAAACATGAAAACTGTTGGAGGATGTTAGAAGGGAAAACAAACTAAGATTGAACTTCAGTTTTCTAAAATGTGCACACTCT